AGCGTAAGGTTTAAGAGCCGGATAAAGAAGACATATACGCATCGCCTTCGCTAATACCGGAAACTTAGGCGACTAATATAGCTACCGAGTTATCTTAAGAGCCGTCTTAAACCTTCGACTCCTCTTCGCCTATACTAATCGACACACTAACACTAGAAACTAGCGTATAGTTTATCGCTTAGCGATAGCTTACTCGGTCTACCTCGTCGCTATACTATAGCGCTAGTAATTTAGATAAAGAGCTATAGAAGTACTATTAAGAACGGACACCGGACGAGCCCTTACGAAACGAGTTTCGTTAGCGAAAGTTCTACTATAGTCTCTATATATAGTATAGAACATCTAGCAATGCTAGTATTTATCTAACTAAGCATAGTATTAAGGTCGGACGGTTTAGAAAGAACACTACGTAGACGAAGGTCTCTAACGCTCTTCGTTAGGGATTTAATATATAGCTTAAGAAGGCAGTAATTATAGAGGATAATAAGGTAAAGGCGATCCTACGCAATGCCGCCGATAAGGAAAGATACCGTAATGCACTAATACGGTTCTTAATAGTGTATAGTGTCTTATACTACGCTATTATAAGCGACATGTTTAATAACATTGTCCTTGCTATTAATCCTTAGGCTAGCTATATTCTGCTTTATTCGCCTAGCTCTATTATACTACGTATTATTCGTAACCGCTAGGCTTAATAAGAGGTTATAGCCGCATACATCTAGAACGGCCTTAGCTGCTACTATATTAGCATAGACACGTAGAAGGCTCGCTACGGCTATAAACACTTTTAAGCTATTAATCTTTAGTTTATTAACGAACACGGTAAGCTAGTGCAATTGCTGCTTAACCTCGTAGAGGTGGACGGCCTACAGCGTAAGAGCGGCGATTATTTGGCTATACTAGTAATTAGTTCGATTAAGGACTATAACCTATAGTATAAACTTAGCTAGATTACCTCTAATAATATTATAGTTAACGACCGTATAGTCGCTATAATCGCTACCTTTATAAAGGAAGCCGGCTATCCGTAGTAGACTAAGAAGACACGTCGCTTACGCTACGTTAGCTATATTATAAACATTATCGTGTAGGCCGCCCTATTTAGAGCGATAGATAGCGATAACGACACCGCTACCGCTAATACGTAGAGGATTAAGGAAGAGTACGAGGCTATTATCCGTAGAGCGATTAAGCAAGAGTTAGACACCGGCGATAGTAGTTACCGTATAAAGCTATAAATGGCGGACAACGCTCTTACTCGCTATCCGAGTATAGTTAAGCTACGCAACCTTATAGTGTCGCTACGTAAGGACAAGTACTAGCAGTCCTTTAAGATAATTACTACTAGCTTCCCTAACGAACTAAACACCGTACTAAAGATACCTAGCGATATACGGTAGAACGGCTAGCTGTTAATAATATTAGAGGCATTTTACACTCGTTAAACCCTTACTACTATATAGCTCCGCTATGTAGAGCTACTATAACTAAACGATAAGGATTAGAACTTTCTCGCGCACGTATAGGCCTTCCTTAAGCCCTTTAACGAGGTCACGTTAAAGGCTAAAGGTTATAGCACTACGCTAGACGCTATCTAAGAGAGCATAGAGTTTATTAGCGACTATATTACTAACGCTCGTAGTAATAGCGTGTCTAAGCTAAAGGAGCCTATTAAGCTTGCCGAGCGTCTCTTTCTTAAGTACTATAAACTGCTAGACGTGTCCGGAGCCTATATAGCTATAATACTACTCTATCTAGAGCGCCGAGTAGCATAGCTAAAGACATAGTAGTATAGCGATAAGGCTAGTTAGTACATAGGCGCATTAAAGCGTATAAGGTCGCTCTAGTAATCCTATAAGGACAAACTCTAGCYTTAYACGTAGAGCGATAATACGCTAGAGCCGCTRTCCGYATTCGACCGCTTTCGAGCTAAGGCTAGTRTTCTAAAGAYATACGATAATTTCGAYAGTTTCGTAAACGCTCCGCCTATAGYACTACTAACTAAYAYAAYAGCTATTAAGTAGTAGATRYAGCCGTTTATAAGACAGGCCTATCTAGCTCTTTTAYAGCTAGCTATTAAYATCMTCTTAGCTTTCGTAATATCCGCTAAGAGCGAGCGTACGTTTAGYAAAAYACGAAGAACTATCGATTAGTTACGCTCTTAGCTACTTAGCGACACTATCCGGTTAATTAAGCTCTCGAAGGATTAGCACCGCTATAGCTTTACTATACCTACTATAGGGGGG